TAATTTTTCCTAATAGTTGCATAGTATTCCATTGTGTACATGTACGAAAGTTTCTTTAACCAGTTGTCTGTTCTTGGGCACTCAGGTTGTTTCCAGGTTCTGGCTATTGTGAACAGTGCAGCTATGAACATAAAGGTGCAGATGTCATTTCTACTGTGCTTTTTTGCACCCTCGGGATATATTTCCAGAAGTGGTATTGCTGGGTCATATGGAAGCTCAATTTCTAGTTTTTTAAGAAATAGCCATATTGTTTTCCATAAAGGCTGGACCAGTTGGCATTCTCACCAACAGTGAAAGAGAGTCCCTTTCTCCCCACATCTGTGTCAGCACTGGTTGTTCTTGTTCTTTTTGATGTATACCAGTCTCTGTGGTGTGACATAATATCTCATTGTTTTTTTGATTTGCATCTCCCTAATGATTAGCAATGTAGAGAATTTTTTCACGTTCCTTTTGGTCATTTGTATTTCTTTTTTGAGGAAGTTTCTGTTCATTTCTTCTCCCTATTTTTTCATGGGGTTGGAATTTTTTTTCTTGTACAATTCTACTAATATCTTGTATATCCTGGATATTAACCCCTTATTTGATAGGTTTTGGGTAAATAATTTTTCCCATTCCGTGGACTCTCTCAGAGTGAGAATTGAGACCCAAAGAGATATCCCTCTTTCAGTCTGAGAGGTCTCTTATCTGCGTTTCTAATACTTCTGGGTCCACCTCCTCCTGACATTTTCTTGACATTAAATCTTAGTTGAAGTCTACTCAGTGGCTGGGGAGAGAACGCCAAGGGTTGAACTGTTCAAGGCCCACCACCTCATGATCTACCAAGTACCACTACGACATGACTCCTGAGCACTGTGCTGGGAGTAGTCCCTGAGAAATTGCCAGGTGCAGCCCCAAACTAAACAAATAAAAATTCTAATTAAATATTATCTGGACAATTGCAATAATTATCCATTCAAAATGTGCACCTCTCAACCACAATCTAATCTTGTTTAAAAAACTTTTTATTGAATCACTGTGAGATAGACCCTTACAAAGTTGTTCATGATTGGATTTCAGTATTCCAACACCCATCACAATCTAACCTTTTAAAACATCTTTACTCCTCTTGGGGCTGGAGAGATAGCACAGCGGGTAGGGCGTTTGCCTTGCACGCAGCCAACCCGGGTTCGCTTCCCAGCATCCCATATGGTCCCCTAAGCACTGCCAGGAGTGACTTCTGAGTGCAGAGCCAGGAGTAACCCCTGTGCATCGCCAAGTATGACCCAAAAAGCAAATAAATAAATAAATAAATAAAATAAAAAATTAAATTAAATTAAAAAATGAAATAAAATAAAACATCTTTACTCCTCTCTGAGGAAACCATGACTCCTTAGCAGCCAATTCCCGTTTCCTAAGAAACCACTAACTCTCATTGTTTTTTATTAATTTTACCCATCACCTCATAGAAATGCAACGTATGCCCATTCCATATAGATGGAGTGGTCCTTTGAGCTGGATTTTTCCTCTTAGCATGATGTTTCCAAATACTTCATTTATTTTTCTTGTTGACTAATATTCTGTTATAAAAATATAACAGATTGTATTGATCCATTAATTAATCAATTATCAATTAATGGGCACTAGGATTGTTCTCACTTCTATTTATTATTACTATAATTGCAAGTATGTGTATATAAATTTTGGCATGAATGTACGTTTCATTTTGCTTATATTTAGGCATGAAGTTTTTGGTTAGATGGTACCTCTATGTTCAACCTTTTGAAAAAACTCTCAACCTGTTTTTCAATGTGGCTACATCATTTTACATTCCAACAGCATTGGATGAAACTTCTAAATTCTCCTCTTGCTTATCCACATTTCTTAGATGTTCTTTCACTATGAAGTGGTAGCTTAGTGAGATTTCCATTCACATCTCCCTAAGGATTATTGATAGTGAACACTTCTTTATGTGTTTATTGGCCAGTTCCAATGTGTGTTTAAAGACGATAGTTATATGAGCCAGCACAATTGGGTAGTGGTATTCTAAGACATTAAATTCATATTTTGCCTAAAAAATCGTCCTTTTAATCTCTACTATGTTTCTCTATTAGGGTAGGATGGTTAGATGATAGATAGATAGATAGATAGATAGATAGATAGATAGATGATTGATAGATAGATGATAGATAACAAGATATTGGCTTACTTGGTTAAGGAAGTGGGTATTCATGTCTAAGATCCTTGTGACAGAGCAGACTTCCAGAAACTGCTAGATGGAATTGAAGCTGACCTCCACAGACAAAATTTCTGCTTCCTCAGAGATACTCCAATTCTACTCCTAAGGCCTTCAGCTGACTAGATGCCACCCACCCAGATGGTAGACCATGGCTGTGAACAGTGTCAATCAACCATCTCCCAGCTGACACCATGATTCACATCTCAGTTGATAACAGGCACAGTAGCCAAGGCCAGTTCACTTTAAAATTAATTGTCACAACTTCCTTCTGTATTATTTTCCCCCTAAGTACTACTTTTCAATTCAGCAAAAAGATTACATAGTGTCATTATTAAAAACCATTTTGAGGGTCTGGAGTGATAGCACAGCTGGTAGGGCATTTGCCTTGCACGCAGCCGACCTGGGTTCTATTCCCAACATCCCATATCGTTCCCCAAGCACTGACAAAAGTAATTCCTGAGTGTATGAGCCAGGAGTAACCCCTGTGCATCACTGGGTGTGACCCAAAAAGAAAAACAAAACAAAACAAAATATTTTGAACCTATCAGTATCTACTTTTCACTAATGACTATGAACTTGCTTGTTTTGGTATCCTGCAGAACTCTCAGCAAATCATCTTGTGCCTGACAGTAACCATTGATATAATATCCCCTCCCTCCTTCCCTCCTTCCCTTCCATTCCTTTCTTCCCTTCTCTCGATTCCTTCCTTCCTTCCTTCCTTCCTTCCTTCCTTCCTTCCTTTCTCTTTTTCTTTTTTCCTGTTCTTTCATATCTATTTGTATATTTATTTTATTGAGATTGTAATTGCTAGTGGTACATTAGTTAGTTTTCTACTACTGCTGTAACAAATCACACAAATTTTGTGTGGTTTACAATCACCCAATGTGTTATTCTCTCACAGTTCTGAAGATTGAAAATGCAAAATCACTCCCACGGGGGTAGAGAAGTCCCTTTCTGGGGCTCTGAGGAGAGAACATTTTGCCTGCCTGTGGCTTCCGAAGCTGCCCCGGTCCTGGGCCGTGGCTGGTGGCTTCCCTCCCTCTGTACTGCCTGTCTCCCATCTCCCTTAATGTGGTCTCTGCCTCCCTGGTCACCTGGCTTTCTCTCTTCCGCAGTACACCCCCACTGTGACCCCTCCTGCCCTTACTTGCTTTGCTGTTGTTCTTTGTTGTTTTATTGATGGGTTGAAATACTGTGATTTATAAAACTGTCAATGATGGTTTCCCATGTGTGCCATTCTAACACCACCCCCTGACCAGTGTACTCACCTCCTTCCCTGAGGATCTCAATGCCCCTCCTCTTTAATCTCTCCACCGTTATAAAGTCAACTCAGTTGTGTGGATCAGGTCCTTCCTGATGGTGCCTTTGACCCTTTGTTGCTCCCTTGTTGTCTCTTTAAGTCCCACACCCCTCCTTTGGTGTCTCTCCTTTTCCTTCAGATTGACTTCACTCTGCATGATATCCTCTAGTTCCATCCATGCAGAGGAAAATTGCTGGAATTTGTTCTGCCTGCCCTTACTGGTGGACTGAATCGATAGCACAGTGGGTAGGGTGTTTGCCTTGCATGTGGCCGACCGGGTTTGATTCCTCTGCTCCTCTCCAAGAGCCCGGCAAGCTACTGAGAGTATCCTGCCTGCACAGCAGAGCCTGGCAAGCTCCCCATGGCATATTCGATATGCCAAAAACAGTAACAACAAGTCTCACAATGGAGACGTTACTGGTGCCCAGTGTTACAGTGCTACAGTGCCTTTACTGGTAATGATGTTAGCCCACCTTGGGATTCCCCCCACCATTGCAGCCCAGGTCCTTAAAAAAAATCACCTCCAAAGAGTCCCTTTTCCATTTGACCCAGCAATACCACTCCTGGGAATATATCTCAGAGAGGCAAAAAAGTATAGTCGAAGTGACATCTGCACTTGTTTGTTCATTGCAGCACTCTTTACAATAGCTAGAATCTGGAAAAAACCGGAATGCCCAAGAACAGATGACTGGTTAAAGAAACTTTGGTACATCTACACAATGGAGTACTATGCAGCTGTTAGAAAAGATGAAGTCATGAAATTGATGAACAAGTGGTACTACATGGAAAGTATCATGCTAAGCGAAATGAGTCAGAAAGAAAGGGACAGACATAGAAAGATTGCATTCATCTGGGGAACATAAAGTAACAAAATAGGAGACTAACACCCTAGAATAGCCGAGATAAGTATCAGGAGGAGTACTCCATTGCTTTGAGGACAGCCGCACACACTAGGGGAAAAGGCAGCTCAGATAGAGAAGGGAGCACCAAATAAAGGGTGTTGGGAGGTTCCTTTCAGGACGTGAAATGCGTGATGAGAGTAGACTATAGACCGAACAAGATTGCCACTCAATGTCTCTTTTGCAAACCACAGCACTCAAAATGAGAAAGATAACAAAAGGGAATGCCCTGCCACAGAGGTAGGGTGGGATGGGAGGATGGGGGGAGGGAGGGATACTGGGACTGGTGATGGTGGAGAACGGGCACTGGTGGAGGGATGGGTATTCGATCATTGTATAGCTGAAACCCAAGCACAAAAATGTATAAGTCTACAACTGTACCTCATGGTGTTTCACTAATAAAAATTTAAGAAAACAACAACAACAAAAAAAAGAGTCCCTTTTGTCATAGGGAACAACATCTACAGCCAATCGCAGGTACTAGAGGGTTAATTATTACACAACAAGCATCGCACTACTGTTTTTATTTTCCAAAATGCCATTTTGAAAGAAACCTTGGCTCACAAAGTTGTTCTCTTTTCCATAGGCTGATGTGAGTCATTCTGGGGAGAACTGCAGACCCCCAACTGAAGGTGCTTGTACCAAGGACCCTGCAGTCAGCCCTGAAGGCCTAGGAAAAGAGTTGGGAAGCTTACCCGGAACCATTCCAGAAAGTTCTCCACTTCCTAGTGAAAGAAATGGAAGAGTAAACTCAGGTTAAAAAAGAAATTCATATTTATCTCCACAAAGTACTGGCTCTCTATATAGATTTTATTTTTAAATTTGTTTTAAATAAGAATAATAAGAATAAAGGCCCTCCCGTTGATCATCGATTTGCTCGAGCGGGCCCAGTAATGTCTCCATTGGAGACTTTGTTGTTACTGTGTTTGGCATATCGAATACGTCACAGGGAGCTTGCCAGGCTCTGCCGTGCGGGCAAGATACTCTCGGTAGCTTGCCACGCTCTCCGAGAGGGGCGGAGGAATCGAACTCGGGTCGGCCATGTTGGCTGCGTGCAAGGCAAATGCCCTACCGCTGTGCTAATTTGTTTTAATATTTTTTATTTCTTTCTTTAGGGGCTATGCCTGGCAGTGCTCAGGGCTTATTCCTGGCTTTGTGCTCAGGGGTCACTCCTGACATTGCTTGGGAGGACAAGATGATATTGGGAATTGAACCAGAATCAGTCACATGCAAGACAAGTGCCTTAGCCCTTGTACTATCTCTCTGCCCCCCCCCCACATATATTTTATAATGAATATTAGACCCTTTTATGATAACTTTGTAGGCCAGGCAGAGCTCTATATAGCAAAGTCTCATCTCTAAGGTTGTAGAAATATGCTTTCCTGGGGGCCTTCATGATGTGGGTAAATGATGTTAATTATTAATCTTTTTTGTTGAGGAAATATTTAAACCATTTTTTAAAAAACTTAGGAGCCCTTAGTATCATTGGAGCTTGAGCCATGGGACTAGGACAAAATCACACCTTGGGAACATTTCTCCGAAGAGAAGTTCTACATTTGAAAAACTCAGTAAATATTCATACCAAGTGACTTCCTTTCACCCACGGCTATCCAAATATCAGCAACACACAATAAAACATACCATGAAAGAGTCTTTCAGGGAGATAACATGAAGCAATCAGGACATAGATCACTCTGAAAAACTCTGGTGGGTTCTGCTTTGTTCCAATTCCCCCAGTTAAATCATTAACATTCTTTAATTCTTCTTTATATTTCATCAGTGTCTGAAACCTTACCAGACCTCAGGAAGAAGTACTCTCTCTGTCTTTCCTTCCATTCCTCGACTTGGGAGTTTTCTCTTTGATTTATGTTAGAATTGGAAAAAAAGAGAGTTCATTGGTGATGCCTGGCTATGAACATGTCAACTATAACTGCTCTTGGTCCCGCCTTGGTTCTGTCAGGCACAGATGTGATGTCTCAGAAAGAGGCAGGAGGGCAGATAGGGTGCCTACTGTCCCTCTCTCTGTGACTGGGTTGGGCCTGTGTGCAGAGTGTCCTTCTGTGCTGGCTCTATGGATGGGATCTTTCCAGGACACCACCACAGATAACGGGTGACCGGGACCCGTCCAGGTATGCCCGCAGAGTGGGTCTAGCCACGGCAGCTGTTGGAGGGCAAGGTTGGGCTTGACTTGTAGGGAGGGAGGGAGGCGGCAGGCTAAGAAGATGCTTTGTAAGGACAATGTGAATTGCTTTTGTAAAAACATCTTTCCACTGAAAGAGCAAGCACAAGGCCTCGATACCCGCCACTGCTTGTCATCGTCTCTCTGCCCAGAGTTCCTTAGACCTCCTTCCTATAACCTTGACTATCACTTAACGTGTCTGTGAAAATGGCTTCTTTTTTTTTTTCTGCTTTCTGAGGTTACACCCAGCGATGCTCAGGGGTTATTCCTGGCTCTGCAATCAGAAATTACTCTTGGCAGTAGCTCAGGGGACCATCTGGGATGTCGGGTATTTTACCCAGGTGGGCCGCATGCAAGGCAAACACCCTACCTGCTGTACTATCACTCCAGCCCCTGAAAATGGTTTAGAACTCTGAGCTTCTCATCACAGACCTGAGGCCACCAGGGCAGGAGGGTGGGTGAGTGGGCTAAGAGGGCCCAAGCAGAATATGGCAGAGAGAGATGAGCACGTTGATGGGGGGAAGTGTGGCAGGGCTAATACTGTACTCCTAGAGCCTTACACTTGAAAAGTGGGAATACTTACACATTTATTTATTTTTAGTCTTTTGGGGTCTTTTGGGGTCAGATCCAGTGATGCTCAGGAGTTATGCCTGATTCTGCATTCAGAAATTACTCCTGACAATGCTCGGGGAACCATATAGGATGCCAGGGATTGAACCTGGGTGAACCATGTGCAAGGCAAGCACCTTATCCACTGTACTATCACTCCAGCCCACTTACACATCTGAAAGCCAGTGTTCCCTCAGTAAAAACTAAAACATTCAAAGTTTCACATTTCACCATAGCATTGCCCAGGGTGCTCCTTTGAGCGCACGCTCACACACACACACACACACACACACATATACACACACATTCACCTACACACTTACACACATACACATATGCACACATACACACACACATACACACATACACACATAAACATACGCACACACTCACATACACACATACTTTGGAAGTTGGAACATAGCTCTCAAAGGGGTGAGAGCATGGACCATGGGTGATGTCCTTAGTTCAACCCCCGATCCTGAGTGTCTCCACCATCATGTGCTCGCCTGGGGACACTCAGCATCACCTGGGCAGGGACTTTCAGGTCTGCATAGTCAGCAGAGCTGTCCCCAGAGCTCCCTGAGCACTGCTAGAGAAACCTTCTCCCAGAAAATGGATTTCAAGTAATTTCAAATTAAGAAAAAATGTAGAACACACAGAATCCTTTCACCCAGTGTTAACACTACCTACTACACTTGCTGGATCCTATCGCCACCTCTCTCTCCCTCTCCCTCTTCCTCCTCAATGTAGCTCTGCTTTGTTAGAGTAAGTCATCTTAATCATAATAATACTTCCTCTCTAAATACACCCATCTGTGCTTCCTAACATAAGGACACTTTTTTTGAAAAAGAAAACTAAGGATCAAAAAAGAGGGAATTATCACTGAGATAGCGTTTATGACTTCTTCTACAGATATCTTCAAATTTTATCAGTTGTTGGGCCAGAAAAATAGCACAGCAGACAGGGTGCTTGCCTTGAAAGTGGCTCCACTTTATCCACAGCACCCGAGAGGGCCCCCTAACCCCACCGAGAGTGATTACTGAATGCAGAGTCAGGAGGAAGCCCTGAGCACTGCCAGGTGAGGGCCAAACCCAAAACCAAAATAAATTTCATCAGTTGTCTCAAATATCCTTTATAAATAAATACTGATTCAAGATCTAATCCAAGATCACACTGAATTTAGTTGTCAGATTGCCTTAGTCTCATTTAAGACTCCTGGAACAATCTCTCAGCTTTTTATAAACTTGATATATTTGAAGATATAGGTCATTTGCTTTGTAGAATGTTTCTTGGTTGCTATGATCTTTCCTCGTGATTTGGTTCAAGCTAGCAAGAATACCAAATATGATTGTGTTCTGTTAAGTATATCAAATTGGGAGACACATGATATCTTTATTGGCTTTATTTTTTTCTGGAAGATTTTCTTAATGTAGCATTTTCATTAGCATTTTCCTCTATTAAATCTGGATTTTGAATCATAGCTAGAAAGACTTTCCCTATACCTCCAGCCTCTCTGGTTCTCTTGTATAACCTTACTCTTTACACTTATGCTTACTGTAAATTTCTAATGGCCAGAGGAAATGCTCACATCAAAGTTAAATACATAAAAAGAGGAGAACTGAGCTGCACAGATGAGTTGGAAGGGTGTTTGAAAGGGAGGGGCACTGGGGTTTGTGGGGGGAGGCAGGGAGGTAGACAGTGATGAGTGTGGTTTTGAAATTAACATGCATGGGAAACCACCAATAACAGTACTGTAAATTACATAACCTAAATAAAACTAATTTTAAGCCTTTTAAATTAAATGCATATAAAACTGAACTGTGTGCTCAGCATGGTATCAATTTTACAAAAATAAAATTCTACACTGAATATTGGTCATTGAAAGACTTAAGGATCTGGCCATTTTAATTTTTTGGTCTTTCTGTATCTTTCAAATTTATTAGGACAACTGTGACTTTGTTTTTTGTAATCAGAAAGAAGTACAGTGCAAAATCCATCAGACTTCTGATATTTTTTTCAGTGTTCCAAGAATTCTTGAGAACTGATTGAAATCACTGACAGTACCCTTGGGACCTCTGTATAGGTGACTTTAGTAAATAGATGACAAGATGAACACTTCTATGGACTACAAATTGAATGGACTACGTGGTGAAAGTAATTTTATTATACTAGTGACAGATGCCAATAAGGGCTTCTTTAGAAACATCCTGAGATATTCAGTCACTAGCTTTGGGGCATATTTGGTAAAGGACATGGGTGTTGAACTCAAATTCACCAGGATTCAAGTCAATTTAGTCAATTCTCTTTCTATCTGTGTCACCTTTAACAAACTAACCAGCCCATCTCATATTGAACTTTAAAATAAGAATAACACACCTCTCTCAATCTCTTTCTCTCTCTTAGAGTTTATGTTTAGATTTTATAAATTATTTAAAGTACTTACTATAGTGCTGGGTTTTAAGTACTCAATTAAGAACAATTATTGTTTAAGTCACTTGCAGAGTAATCAGTTAAAGAAACCTCTTAAAATAGGAAGATTGAGGGGCTGCACAGCGGGTAGGGCGTTTGCCTTGCACGCGGCCGACCTGGGTTCGATTCCCAGCATCCCATATGGTCCCCTGAGCACCGCCAGGGTGATTCCTGAGTGCAGAGCCAGGAATAACCCCTGTGCATAGCCAGGTATGACCCAAAAACAAAAAAAAAAACAAAAAAAATAGGAAGATTGATATTCTGAAGAGAGTCATTCGGAGTGTGTGTGTGTGTGTGTGTGTGTGTGTGTGTGTGTGTGTTCCCCACTCTAAATTCTTGGAAACAGTCTTATTAAGTAGCAAGATTAGAACTTTCATTAAAAGGCCCCATCCCTCAGAAATTCCTTCTAATTACAGAACAGAAGGTAGCTGATTTCTGAAGACTGTATGACACCTTTCTTCCATAATACAAAGTGACAACAACAGGTTTTGTTTTAGTTATATAATCAGGTGACGGCGAGGGATCTTACTCTCAACTTTTTAAAATCCCCTAGAAACCACTTCAGTGCTCGTTTTTAGAACTACTAATAAAAATTTAGCTGATATCACTGGATTCCAATTCGATTTGGTTCAAAGACTCTTTTCACATAGACATCCTCTTGTATAGAATTAGCAGATGGCGCAATTGTAAACTCAAGGTTGCGGAACTAGAAGTCTCTTGGCAACATCACGCTGTTTATCCTTTGTATACAAAGCATAGAAACCAAACTTTGCAGCTCAGAAGAGTCACTGAAAGAAAATCTCCTCCTTAGCTGTGGTTCAGCTTCATAATTAGCACAGAGAGTCCACGCAGTGGTGCCCAAGTGTATAAGTGTTGTTACAACAAAAACAGAGTACATAGCAGCACAGGAAGGCTCTCTGTCATGTTAACATGTGATCTGCAGAGCAAACAGTATCCTATTTTGATGTGCATCTATCCTCTGTAACAAAGATGTTGAACTCAGAGGCAGATTAGAGGTGACATAAGGTCAGTGGTGAAGGGTCCCAGGCACTTTGATTGTGGTGGGATGCATTACATTTGGACATTCCACAAATGTTAATACTATTGTCATTGTTACTAAACTAGAGTAATCAAAAAGAAGAATCTGAGCTTCAAAGGATTACAAGATGTATCACAGAAACAGATGGCTGGTGAAAGGGTTGAGATTTTGGTAGCATGATTGATAAGGCGTCTATTTACCACTTGACTGCTGAAAATTTGATGCTTACAGTTCCCTTTCTTTTTTCTCTTTTCTGTTGGAAGACTTGGTGCCTGGTGGATTAATCCATAAACCCCAAACCCTAGAGAATCGAGAGCGACAAAAGTCAGCAGACATCCTGGAGGAATTAATCATTCAAGGAATAATACAAAGCCACAGCAAAGTATTTAAAAATGGAGAATCATATGATGTCATGGCAAGTAATTTTCTAATTTAATATTAGTTTATAGTATAAAATAGTTATAGAATATGATTGACCACACATTGCATTTCAAAGTCAGAGCAGTAATTACAGCCCGTTCCCCGCCTCTTCCCCAACCTTATCTTTTTCAATGGGTTCAGAAATTTCCTCAGTTTTTAACGATTAATGAATCTAATCAAACGTATCTTGAAATTTAGTGGATATATAATTAACCCCCACTGCTCATCATGCCTTCGTTCTGTCAATAATTTTTATTCTGCATTACTGATAACTTAGGCATTGTGGATATAAAACTGAACTCTGATGTATCTAGTAAGATACTAGGCCTAAATGCTAAAACACCAAAGCTAAAACATATACATTTTCATGTACACCCTAAAGTCAGGCCTGGGGAAATCAATGCAATTTCAGAAAGAGTAACACTATTATTTTTCTGTGTTGATTCATTTTCACTAAGCTATTTTTGTTTTAAATTAGTAGTTGCCATACTTTTACTATGATTTTAACTGATTCTGAACAGTTTTGAATTTTACTTTGTTTTGTTTTGTTTGGGGATCATACCTGGATGTACCCCTGGCTCTGTGCTCAGGGATCACTCCTGACTCAGTGCTCAGGAATAATATTTAATGTCCGGGTTTCAACCAGGGTCAGCTGCATTTAAGGCAAGTGACTTAATACCTGTACTATCTACCTGGTACCTTTAAATCTTCATTCTTACAGCAAGTTCTGTAGAAACATATGAAGAGGAGATCAGGTTTAGTTGATGTTGCTATTATTTTGTTATTCTTTCTTGTTTGGGTTTTTTTTTTCTTTTTGGGTCACACCCGGCAATGCACAGGGGTTACTCCTGGCTCTGCGCTCTGGAATTATCTCTGGTGGTGCTCAGGGGACCATATGGGATGTTGGGAATCGAACCCCGGTTGGCCACGTGCAAGGCAAACGCCCTACCCGCTGTACTATGGCTCCAGCCCCAGGGTTTTTTTTTTTTTTAAACCAATGCTTCTAGTCAACACAATAGTTCTAAGCATAGAAAAAAGGTGGAAGAAGAAAGAACAAAGAAAAGAAGCCTGAGGAAAAATAAATGGAACAGTAAAGAAAGAAATAGAAGTGGTGGAAACTGAGAAAAAGAAAGAAAGAGAAAGGGTGGAAATTGAGACCAGAAGCTATTCAACGGCTTACACCTCAGTGGTTGTCCATCTCTGTGTGGAAAGAAAGTCAGCTGGGGATGAAAAACAAAATTTAACTCAAGTTTATCACCTAGCATCAAATCACTTAGTGTTTGACTAAAGGTAATTTACTTCTCTGTGTGTAGAAAATGCTGAGAACTTAGGAATAAAAGCCAAAGTGGCATTTCTTTTGAAGAAAGAAAATAAGTATTTGGGGGAATGAGGAGATTGCCAAACCTGAATGATATCATCAAGCTGGCAACGAGGAGAGGATGTAAGAGAAAAAGGAGGGTAAAACTGGATCACCATACGGAGCAGTGTCATGAAAAGAGAGAGAGAATTTAGACTTGTACAATGCTAATGTGTGACAGGCATTTTGAAAGAAACTCTTATTTGAAAGAACTAAAGAAAGGATGGGTCTTTAATAAGGGAGGCGACAGAGGTTTTTTTATTTCTGGAGGTCTAGAAAGGGTGTGTAAAAAGAAAAAGACAGGCAGAATCTCCTGATTCCACCCCAGACTGTCTTCACTGGGGTCCCTGGGGGGGGGGGGGGGGGTTGAATTTCCCTCCCTGCTCCTTCAGCCAAAAACCTCCAAAACCCAGCCACAGCCATGCTCAAGGCCACTCTCTACATTCTCGGATGAGCCCCACCCATGAAGGAACCAACAGAGGAACCCAGGTATGCGGGATCTGTGGCTGAGATCTCCAAGCCTGCTCGGATCAAGACTGCTGGCTTCCTCCACCCAGCTCCCCAGTTTTCCAGTAGCTTGGAAGTCATACCCACAAACCACACCCACCCCACCCCACCCCCCACCCCCACCGCCATGTAATCTTATCAACAGCCAAGATCCAGAAACTATAAAATAAAGTTCCCAGAAGAGAGCAATGTAGTATTCCCAGGAGCGCATGGCCATGTGACCTCTTACACTCTAGCCCACTGATGTACCTAAAATAGCACACGTGTGTTTAGTTTTAACATACTTGCTTGTATTCTTGTGTATATGGGCTTAAATGGCCCCAGAATGAAATACAACAACCTTTACACACTTCCCTCTTATTGTGGTAGGAAGATGCTCGCTGGTTGGGTGGGTGTTTGACTAGCATCTCTAATGAACTACTGTGAACTACTTTATGAAAATAAAATGTATAAAAATAGTAGCTCAGTATTATTCAGTAGCTAAGGGATGCATTATAGGCACCATAATTAATGATTCTGCTAATGACAGGGCTTCATGCATGAAATATTCCAGCACCCCAACCTTCACAGAGGATCAGCCTTTCTCCACCATTGTCCCAGTGAAACCCACCTCCTATCCTGTCCCCAACCCCCCTCCAGTGATAAACAGTCCAGGACCTGATTCACAGACCAGTGGGAATTGCACTGAAACAGTTTTCAGTGATTTGCAGGCCAGAGAGGAACGCATTTGGACTTAGGACTTGCAAGAAAGGTGAATGAATATAGTCCATCCTGTGAAAGATAGCTATTAGAAACTGGAAACTCTAAACTTGACTTTCAGTAACATCACTGAATGAGCCAAAGATGAAGGCTGTTTTCAGATTATATAGACAAGGGCTGGAGCGATAGCACAGTGGTAGGGCGTTTGCCTTGCGCGCAGCCGGCCCGGCCAAGCCGGGTTCGATTCCTCTGCCCCTCTCAGAGAGCCTGGTAAGCTACCGAGAGTATCTCACCTGCATGAGATGAGGTGCATGAGAAGCCTGGCAAGCTATCTGTGACGTATTCCATATGCCAAACACAGTAACAACAAGTCTCATGATGGAGACGTTATTGGGCCCGCTCGAGCAAATCGACGAACAACGGGAGGACCATGTCTGACCGTGATAGACAAGGAATAGTTGGAAGGCGCCTGGCTGGAGTGTGCTCAAAAGGAAGCAAGGTTCTAGGAGGAATGTTCCATGGTTGGAAGCTTGCCACAAGTGGTGGTGGGGAGAAGGCAGCTAGGACAGAGAAGGGACCACAATGACAATGATAGTTGGAAATGGTCAGTATGTGCTGAAAGGAAGTAAAGGGACAAACATTATAACCTTTCAGCATCTGTATTGCAAACCATAATGCCAAAAGGAGAGAGAGAGAGAGAGAGAGAAAGAGAGAGAGAGAGAGAGAGAGAGAGAGAATAACTACCTGCCATAAGGAGGAGAGGAGGAGGAACAGGAAGAAAGCTGGAGACTTGGTGGTGGGAAATGTACACTGGTGAAGGGATGGGTGAGGGAACATCATTTAACTGAAACCCAGTCCTGAGCAACTTTGTAACTGTGTTTCTTATGATCATTCGATTAAAATTAATTAATTAATTAAAAGAATATAAAGGTTTACAGAGGTGGGCAAGAATAGCAATTTTCATGCTCTCTCCACTCCTCTCTCCTGTCCCCCTTTCTTCCTTTACTCTTCTCTCCTATCTTTGAAATTGGCCCAAGATTCCCCACCAGAGGCCTCCCTGCTTCACTGCCTAGTGAGAGGTCTTAGACCTGGCTCACATTCGAGTGACTCAGGCACCTCTTAACGCTCCTGCTGGCTCCATCCCTGATCTGTAATCAATCCCAGGGCCCACAACATCTGCTGTCCTACTTTTGAAAGCTCCCAAGTGGTTCCCTGGGCCAGCCCAGGTTGTAAAACCTCTATCGTAAAGTTTCAACAACTTTCAACAGTTAAACAAGTTTCAACGTTCATGTACACCAAGTTCTCAAAATGTGATTAGAAAGCTGTTAGAACGAAAGGGTCAAAGCTTTTGGAATTGAAGTCACCTCTTGGCTGTGAAGGAGAGTTCTAAGATGTTCCTGGAAATGTAATATTTCAAGTACAGGACGAAAATTATACCCCAAAACACACACGGCACTTGAAGGAAGGCCATTATCCGTGCTGGGTCTTAGGCGGAGTCAGACAGTTCAGCTACAGCTGAGAGCATGATATAAGAAGATTTTAGACTTCTTGGGTCAACCAATAGGGCACTTAAATACAAGGAAACGTCAGACAGAATTCTGTCTACCTCTCAGCTGGTCACTCTCTCTCATTCAGTTATACTTTAAAATTATATCTAATCAGAGTTGCTGAGAAGTTAGGATTCTATGTGGATCTTCATAATAAGGGAAACCCCCTCTGGGTCTGGCTCCCCTAGAGAACCATGGCCCTACCTGTGAACACCACATAGCTTCTTCCTCTCTAAATGTTTATTCTTTGCTTGTTGGAAAATTTTCAGCATATTGATACTTTACAGACACTCAAAGTTGTAATGATACTATGAAATGTAATATTAAGAAACTATATCAGAATTATTGAATCTGTTTTTTGAGGGTGGGGGTTTTGGGACACAACTTCTGGTCTGAGGGGTTTCAAGAATCGAACTTGGGACTCCTGTATGCAAGGCATGCACTCCAATCCTTGAATTGGCATATTTTGGTTTTTGGCATTTTGGGGTCACACCCAGTGATGCTCAGGGGTTATTTCTGGCTCTGCACTCAGGGATCACTCCTGGCAGTGCTGGCGAGCCATATGGGATACCAGGGATTGAACCTGGGTTGGTTGCATGCAAGGCAAACTCCCTACCTGCTGTGCTATCGCTCTGGCCCCTGAATTGGTATATTTTAAAGCATTCTAGGGCGCTGGAGAGATAGGTCAGCAGATTCAGTACCTGCTTTGCCTGCAGAAGGCCCAGGTTCAGTCCTTGGTACTGTGTGATCACCCGCCCACAATACCATTTGGAACAACCCCAAGCTTCGAGCTAGGAGTAGATCCTGAGCAAAGCACCAAGGTATAGACCCCAAACCAAAAGCGAACGAATGAAAACATCCCAATGAGCTTTCAGAGTCTGCACTATGAATGTCTGTTGGCTTCCTGTGCACACACATGCTAATTTAAGAATGGAGAGCGATAGGTCGCTTAAGAGAAAGAGAGATAACTTCCCCTTGTTTACCCACATAGTTATTAGCTACTCATTCCACTGTAGGTGTCCTTCACCCCAAACTCCATTCTTCCTGCTTTGAAGTCCTGCATCTTCCTCCAAAAGACTGAACCCCTGCCTCTCGGTGTGAGCTGAGTAGTCCCTGCCCTACTCACTGCAGGACAGGGAACCTTAACGCCACTGGAGAGGTGGTCCCACTGCATCAAAATCTGGAGCAGTGTTCGTTGAACCTCACAGGAAGTCTTTTATTTGAGAGTTTGACTGGGTAAAGACTAAAACTCATTCCCATGGTGTGACACTCCCGAGGAGATACAAGGTGACAGTTGGAACAATCTCACCTCTTGTGGGAAGCTTCACCCCTGTCCATGATAGCATGCCAGGAAGGAAGCCTCCTGGCCAAGGGATGGTCATCTGTGTGTCAACAGTTAATTAGGGAAACTCCGAAGAAGTACGGAGTGCATGTAGAAAGTCACACACACAAGCTCAATTGACCAGAAATAAGAGTAGATCTTACCACAGCATCTGAGGGTTGACAGTCCTTTTTCAGTGTAAAGAAAATAGACAAAGGGCCAGAGATGTGGCTCAGTGGTTGGTGTACCTCCAGCATTATTCTTAATAGTGCTAGAAATCATGATGCCTCAATAATGAAAATGATCGTGTGTGTGTGTGCATGCACGCACACGTGCGCCCAGAGAAAAATCAGAAAGATATACACTGAATTCTTTCAATTATTTTCATAAAGCTCTTATTTTATTATTTTTTTAAAGTGGTGCGCAATGGTCACGGTCACCCCGTTCTTCATAGATTTGCTTGAGCGGGCCCAGTAATGTCTCCCTCATGAGACTTGTTGTTACTGTGTTTGGCATATTGAATACGTCACGAATAGCTTGCCAGGCTTTGCCATGCAGGCGAGATACTCTCTAGGTAGCTTGCTGGGCTCTCTGAGAGGGGCAGAGGAATCGAACCCAGCTGGGCCGGGCCGGCTGCGCAAAAGGCAAATGCCTTACCGCTGTGCTATGGTCAAAATTGAGAATGTAGTTTCATTCCCGGATTTCAGCACCAAAAAAAGGGGGGTGATGGAGCTATAGTACAGCAGGTAGGGTGTTTGCCTTGCATGCAGCCAACCCGGGTTCAATTCCCAGCATCACATATGGTCCCCTCAGCACCGCCAGGAGTAATTCCTGAGTGCAAAGCCAGGAGTAACCCTTGTGGATCGTCAGGTGTGACCCAAAAAGCAAAAAAAAAAAAGAGAGAGAGAGAGAGAATGTGCAGATTATTTGTGTTTCCTTTAAGGTTTTAAAGCCCGTGTATTATTACTTTTGAAAGGCTCTTATTTTATTATTTTTTTAAAAAAATTGTTATTGAATCACAGTAAGATATAGTTGCAAACTTTCATGATTACGTTTCACTCATACAATGTTTGAGTACCCTTCCCCCCACCAGTGCACATTTTCCACCACCAATGTTCCCAGTATCTCTCCCACCACCTCTACCCCATCCAACCCCCTGCCTCTATGGCAGATACATTCCTTCTTTCTCTCTGCTTTTGGGCATTATGATTTGAAATACAGATACTAAGAGGCCATCAATTTTGGTCCTTAGTCTACTTTCAGCACATACCTCCCAAAAGCTCATAGTTTAAATTAAACTTTCTCTGTTTTTCATTTGTTTTGTTTTGGGACCACACCTGGCAGTGCTCAGGACTTACTAGCAAGACTCACAAAGAAAGAGAGAGAGAGAACCCTAATAAACTGAATCAGAAATGAGAAGGGGGATATCACAACAGAAACCAATTCAAAAGATCATCAGAGACTACTTTGAAATTCCAGCTCCTTCCTTACAAATTCCTTCATAAATTCATTACAACTTCATATCCTTAAAAACCAGGAATTACAATCAGCATACCTTTACAACTGCTTTGACCTGGGTATGGGTGTATGCTAATATCTCTGCCATTGTCCCCTGCAACTGGTAGGTTGCTCTGCTGAATCTTTTGCAGAGCAGCAAAGCCTCCTTCAGAGATGCTGCCTCCTAACTGTCAGCTCTCTGGTCCAAGACAAAAGCAGTAGCATTTACTCTCGCTCACAAGGACTGTATCTGGTGCTTGTGGTTTGCTGGTGAAGGTTCTGCTTCCCCAATATGCCAGTGGCCTCTTGGACCCATAGTACCCAGTTTCCTTTCCCAAACTGTGACACATTAAACTATGGTGCTAAGGTCTGACCACTCGAGAAGAAAGGTTATCCAAATCTAGGACCACCTTTAGAAATAGGGCTGGAGCGATAGCACAATGGGTAGGGCATTTTCCTTGCATGCAGCCAACCCAGGTTTGACTCCTCCATGCCTCTCAGAGAGCCCAGCAAGCTACCGAGAGTATCCCGCCAGCGCAGCAGAGCCTGGCAATCTCCCCATGGCTTATTCAATATGCCAAAAACAGTACCAACAAGTCTCACAGTGGAGACATTACTGGTGCCCGCTCGAGCAAATCGACGAACAATGGGAGGACAATACTTACTAAGAGTGGACAGTGCTTTAGAAATAAGCTTTGGATGGGAGAAAGCCTACAGTAGTGCAATTCTCTGGAACATCTGGGTTTGTTGAATTAACTCATTCCCTCATGATCACATGAGGCCTGTTCTCTTTTTGATGTCCCAGTCCCTGTCCCATTCCTTGGCTCAGGATGAAACCATCAGCTCGTCCCATATACTTCAGAATTTACAGCCACATAAATTCTCCATCTGTGTGTAGTTAAATGTGGTCTTCTAGTAATCTGTCTGGTGTGAATTTACTCAAACACTGAGAAGAATCCAGAGGGATGACAGGGGAGGGGAAAGGGGGTAAGGAGTTCTCCCTGCACCCTTGTGTAATGGTATCATCGGGTTGAACTTTGTACCCTGAGTTCTAGATTCATCACTCACAGGCACCTTTCCCATCATGCATTTATTCTCAGCATTTTCTTTCCTCTTCCAAGTCTCCTTTCAGCTCAAGCCATCTTTGCATTTTCTTTCTCATGGTTGGCCTAATAGCCTGTTTTTGCTTTTGCTTCTAGACCTCTAATGCGTTTTATCTCTAGGAATCAATTCTGGATTACTGGGAGCTAGATCTTTAGGGATTAGTCCTTTTGATATCAGATTTCACATGGTTGCGTTTTATTTGCTTTTTTCCAATATAAATCTTTTATTTTTAAATTACTTTATTAATTTTTGTTAGAGTGTCAGTAACAAAGTTTCAATAGTGTTAAAGTCTATGGTACGGATATACAAAATTAGTGCACCTCCCATTACCCAAACACCCAAAATCCTCCACCATTGTCCTCATGTCACCTCTTGTCCAATCTTCATTCCCACTCCACATATCCACTGTTGTTCCTGCTTTTACAGGAAGTTCAGACTTCCAGGATTGACAATTCCCATAATTTGTTTGTTTGGCCTCACCTGGCTTTCTCCTTGGCCAATGCATAGGTTTGTTTATCTTTTGTTTGTGAGGAGAGGGTGGTGGGAGGTTGTGGGGGCGGTTAGGGCCACACCTGGTAGTGCTCAGGGATCCTGGGGAGGCTCAGAGAAAGTCATTCGGTGGCAAAGATCAAACTGGAATCAGATCAAGCTTGCTTTGCAAGTGCCTTAACCCCTGTACTATCCCTCTGGCACCTGTTTCTCCTTTATTTAAAAAGCATCTTCCTCCAGATGAACCCAGCTGATACGCCTCTGAGAAAGCCACCAGCCCGGCTGAAAAAACTTAAGACCAAAAAGGAAGAAGTTCTGACAATGAAGGACTTAGAAGAGAAGATGCAGGCAGTGGAGGAGCGCAGGAAGGTAAGGGGGAGGGGCACAGGAAGGTAAGGGGGAGGAGCCCGGTAAGGAAAGGTTCCAACCACTTCCTGCTCAACCCAGAGGCCTGACTGGCCTGCCCTTCCACCAGCAGCTTGAAAACACAGTACAATAATTTAAGGATTTGTATTCTCTTTCTTTGTTGTTGTTAATCTGTATGCATCTTATGTATTTAGCTTTTCTTTAAATCCTCCTCTTTCAGTGATGAGGAAATCAAGCAATAAATGTTCATTTGAACCATATATTAACATTGGTCAAATCACAGAACCTAAGCAAGCAAAAGCCAACTCTCAGAAGCATGGCATCTCCTCTGTGAAAAAAAGAATAAACTTCAGCTGGGGGATAGGGAGGGAGGAGGTGCAGGGGAAGAGAATGAGAGCTGAGCGGGGCATGATGTTTGCACCTCGGGGACCACCTCTGCCCGGTCAGCCACTCCATCAGGCATCAGCCTGCAGACCTTCGGTCCAGTGCTCATTTCCTAGTTCCCACTCAGCCTCTTGGAGGAGAAGCAGGCTATAAGCTCAATGAGGGCAGGGAGTAGGCTTCTTCCAGAGCGATTCCTCACCCCTCACTTTTCAAATGACAAACACTGAAATAAGCCACAAATGGCCTTTGCTGTCAACTTCAATGCCATCCCGGTGGAAACTATATGTGCTCTTTTCTATTCTTTCATCCTGCTTTTCAGTCAAAAGAAGAAGAAATCAGAAAAAGGCTCCGGAGCGAGCGCCATCTGCCCCCAGCCCATCACTCCAACTCTGCCACACAAAACAGAGCCAGGGATACGGCTTCTTTCACCAAAGGACAGGACTCTGTGTTGGGACCAAATGGCCAGCAGGAAGGAAAACCATCGAAAAGGAAGAAGAGTCAAAGTGACACAACCTCAATGGACAGAAGCGGTTACGAAGGGGTTGGGTTCATGGTGGAGTCAGACCAGTCCTACAACCAGCCCGATGATGTCTTCTGAGCAGGCGTGTCCCGGGATGTCAGGAGTGGTCACCTCCCAAGTTGTGACTATTGGTCTATCTCCTGTTTCTCTTTGCCTGACCTCACCCCCGTGGGATTTCTACCTTGAGCTTAGGAATGATTGTAAGAGCTGCCAGGAGCAGCAGTAAATTGACTAAATGAAGTGCTTCTGCGTAGGAAAGATTTGACAAGCTTGAATATGAGAGACCCGCCATTCTCCTTCAGCGTGATTTCACACATTAAGAAGATGTCTTGTAGGTAGAGATACCTTCAGTGTAGAGTTCGTGCCAAATGAAATTGTTTTTTCCCAGTCTGGCCCCTCAGCTGTGTTGACTCTCTGAAGTTCCCTTAAAACAAATTGTATGGGGGATGGAGCGATAGTACAGCAGGGAGGGCATTTGCCTTATATGCGGCCAACCCACGTTTGATTCCAAGCATCCCATATGGTCCCCCGAGCACCACCAGGAGTAATTCCTGAGTGCAAATCCAGGAGTAACTCCTGTGCATTGCCAGGTATGACCCAAAAAGAAAAAAAAAATGTACGGGGCATGGAGGAATAGAGCACCTGCCTTCTAGGTATGGTTGGTTCCAAGTTCAAATGCCTACTGTCCCATGTGTCCTGAGCATGAGCCTGGCAGTTTGGCTGTGCACACTGGGTGACTTCCAGCCACACTGAAGCCAGCTAGGTATTAAGTACCACACCCAGGTGAGTATCACAATCAAAAAGATGGGTGAGCAGCCACCCGGGGAACCCTTGTGTGAGCACCACCATTAGAGGCATGTAACTGTGAACGACACCCCGGTGAGAGTGTAAACACTAATGCCTGATGAGTGACTCCGTGAGTCTCCACTCCAGGCACACACAAGTAACCACTGGTCATGTCACTGCACTGCAGCCTGATAAGTGACCTCGAGGCACTCATGTCACTGGTCATGCCGCTGGTCATGGCAACAACTTTCAGCAAAATCGACACTAACAAAAGGAAGGGGGGAATTTTCCAAAAATGACAAATTGCTTGGCTTTCTAGGAAGTCTTCTCATGATCTGGATGCTTCTCAGGATTCTTTTTTTTTCTTTTGGTAATTCATTTTTGTGTTTGAAGGATAAAAACATTATCTTGAAGTTGGCTGAATTGCAGCTTCATCTCTACAGCCGAGACGGGAGTACCAGCCAACTCTTCAGGACTAACTATGGTGTTTTCTTCATATTAAAAGAAGAAACTTTAATTGGATTTAGCAGAGGGAGACCCAGGGAGTGGGCTGAGCTAAGAGGATGCTCTGATGCCAGTGTCCTACTTCCTTGGGTACCCCTAAGTGGAGGGGGTTGCTGTCCCTCATTTTATTAGAATGCACCTTGGTGCTTTCGTCTCTAAGCACACAGCATCCAACCAAGGATCGGGTCTCACAAGTCATTGTTAGAAGAATCTCCTGCTACCATTGTCAACCTTGCCCCCGTTACCATTGAGTTTGAACTACTCTCTCATGGTTCTGTGGCTTGCATAACATCTACCTTTATTTTGTACCACACCTCTCTGTTGAAAGTTCTTCCTCACCCCTTGTATGGTCATGATACTGTTTCAACTCCTTCTAGACAGTTTCATGGCCTGCCTGCCGTCCTGCCGTCCTGCCTGCCTGCCTGCCTGCCTTCCTTCCTTCCTTCCTTCCTTCCTTCCTTCCTTCCTTCCTTCCTTTATGATTTTTCTTTTGCTGAGGAGCAATGGGAAGAAAGATTGCTACTTCAAAAAATAGCTTCTTGGGATCATTTAATTTTATGTGTCAAAATAGCATAGCGAGTTCTCACATTCTAAAAGAGTTTTGAGCAACTAGCAGGATATTGTAACAAACACCAAACCATAATCATTAGTAAGTCATAAGTAAAGAAGTCACGATTAGATTGTGTCTTTGTGATCCTTTTTCAATGATGGCAGCTAAAAAATATTGCTACAGGCTTCCTTATAAAAGGTAACCTGGTGTCTAATAACAGAAACTTTGATATGTAATAAAACTTCTGGTATTGTAGTTTTCCTTCTTTGGATTTTGTTTTTTGGTTTGGGGGTATTTTTTTTCTAGTGGGGAAGACCCCAATGGATAACTTTCATTAAAATAATATTTTAAAGGTTTACTCAAGCATACTTCACTTATATTTAAAAGCATGCACTTGGTACAATTCTTATGTTCATAAAAGTAATTTTGTAATCATGGGGACAGAAATAGAATTTATCATAGAGCGTTGCTATAGTGACGACCAGTAATTTATGACCGTGCCTATTTCTGTGTTTGCGATTCCATTCTCAGTAAATAGCTAGTGTTTGAAGGAGTAATTATATGGTAAGCTCTGCATTCTGAACATCTGTAATGCTCCGAATTGTCACTGCATAGATCTAATTTGCTCTAGTGCAACCTGACACACAGTGACTTCTCAGACTGATGGAATCCACGTCTCAGCAGGTCAATGAAGGGCATTATTGTACAATAAACTGTGGGAGATTTTGGTCTCATGTCACACACTACTTAATATGGAAAAAAATAGTAACTGTCTTTTTGTTTTTACTTTATAAGTTTTATCAGTAATTTGTGGGAAAAAAAAAACACTTAAAAAGCATCACAAACAAATAGAAAACCCGGATACCCAGAATTCATCATTTTTCCTTCCTGCTGGAAACAATTTGTTCTCTGTACTGCAACACTATCCTAGGGGGAAAAAGGATTCCTATTACTTAAGCTGTTTTGCAACTCGATTCTATTACTCAAATATATAATAACTTCCTGTGGAATTTGTTCTTCTTTCATAAGATCTTCCTGATGATGTAACACTGTTTAATTTCCCTTGGTTCCTAGAGATGCCCCCATCCTTTTTTTTTTTTCCTTACACCATTTTATTATTTTTTTATCCTTTTTTTAAAAATTTATTTATTAAATCACAGTGAGAACAGTTACAAAGCTTTCGCCCCCATCCTTAAGGATAGAAAACACGCATACTTTCATTTCTGGCTTTAAAGCTTGGTAAGTAAAATTAGACAGATTCCCTCAATTAAAGTGCCAACAGTCTGGACTTGGAGGCCAGAAGCCATGTGTATTTTTACCAAGGCAACATTGGGGCTTGAAAATGATGTTGAAAGTCAAATGAAACCAGTGTTGCCAATACACCTTCCTTCTCCTCCTGCTCAAGAAGTTCCATCCCAATTTCTATCAAGCTCACTGAGATCCCAAGTATGTTGCAAAAGCATGTTTTGTGATAAAGGGGTGTATGTGTGACAATTTCTCCTGTATCCTAGTTAGCTTCTCATTGATCAGGAATAAAAGGCGTTCACACTTGCATAGCGCTATTAACATAAAAAGTGTTTGCAATTAAGGGTCTGAAACATTTTCTCTTGTCACTTAGAAACAAGAAATTACAGTTTAAAAAAAAGTAAGATGATCAGCTCCTTTTAGCACAAACTGCAACCATTCTCCATATCAGGGTCGTGAAAACAGTAATTAAATTCCTACTAATTTTTAGTAATAAATACATAAATTTCCTCTTTATGTAAGACAATTCTATCCCTAAGACAACCAAAATAAATCATACCCAAATTTACATGACAACAATTCATGATTAGTTAAAAATAAATAGCAGTGTGCCGACTTGTCAAGTGAGAAAAAAAATTGGACAGAGGATTATTTGCAAGTTTGTGGATTTGGCTGCTACAAACGCAAATTCTCAGGCTCAACTTTTAAGACCTTCTGTATCAGATCATAAGATCCAGCCAACTAGGGTTTTTACAAGTCTCCAGATGGTTCTGATGTACATTCAGATTTGCCCTATTCACTGATATATGTGAAAAGCATATGGAACCAGGTGCCCTGAATGCTGCCCACTTGACACTAGAAGGCCATTTTTAAAAAAATTTTTATTAGTGAAACACCATGAGGTACAGTTGTAGACTTACAAATTTTTGTGCTTGGGTTTCAGTTATACAATGATCCAGTACCCATTCCTCCACCAGTGCCCATTCTCCATTATTTACATTTTTAAAAAAAAATTGTTAGTGAAACACCATGAGGTACAGTTGTAGATTTACAATTTTTTTTGTGTTTGGCTTTCAATTACACAATGATCAAGTACCCATCCCTCCACCAGTGCCCATTCTCCACCACCACAGATCCCAGTATCCCTCCCCCCCCCCCACCCGCCATCCTCCTGTCCCACCCTGCCTGTGTGGCAGGGCATTCCCTTCTGTTCTCTCTCTCCTTTTGGGTGCTGTGGTTTGCAAAAGAAGCATTGAGTGGCAATCATGTTTGGTCTATAGTCTACTTTCAGCATGCTGATCCTGGGAGGATCCTCCCAACACCCTTTATTTGGTGCTCCCTTCTCTATTTGAGCTGGACAGGCACATTTTTAAGTTTGATGGTTGTAATTTGGATCTCACGTTTTCATTGACTCTGTGGTTTGGATATATAGCTGTACCACTCCTCGACAGCCCTGAAGGACCTGAGACCCTTTACTCCTACCTTTCATTACTCATCCCAGTTTTCTAACTCCCCCTCGATTTCTTTTTTCTCTGTCCTCCCTGTACTCTGGGGTCAAAGCAAGGTATCTTGATGCCATGATTTAGAACTGGATGAGGGGATGTAATGTATCGAAAGGCAGATGACTCGGCCTGAAATATTTTTAAAACCACTTTAGGGAATTTGCAATTCTAAGAAGCTGGAAGATGCTATTATTTATTTGCTCTGTCCCTACCGTTGATAGTTTGGGTTCTTTTCAATTTATCAGTATAAAGATTCAGAACACTTTAATGACAGTTCACTGAGCAGCAATCAAATGAGATGATGTCCTGAGAGGTAAGTCTTTCACCAAAAATATATTTGATAAGTTGTCATAAATTAATCATTTTAATTCCATAGTCAAGATAAAATACCTTTTAAAATTGGCCTTACAATTTCTCTCTGAAATTCTGTAAGTAGACAGTTTCATTGTGGGTCCTTTGTCTGGTGTGGCAGAATTTGACGGTCAAGGAGTCATCATTTGATTAGTTCAGCCGACTTGGAACCACTTGCTTAATTTCCCTCCGAGGAACTGCTTCTTCCTTTGTCCATCTGAGCTTATTGGAATCTGTGCAACTTTGGA